ACACAGCAGAGAATACACTGACCTATTAGTCTTCTAGATGTTAGTTAATTGAATCTCTGAAAACATCTTTCAGCTTGTTAAATAACTATGAGTTTGCTCATGTTGAAGTTTCATGATCCTTGTGAAATGAGTGATGTTAGGATCAGGAAAGGCCCAAGAAGTCAGATTTATTTTCTCCAGAACTGCCATCGGGAGGTCTTCCTAGGTTGTAATATATGTAATATATGAAATGTTGATGAGAGTACATGCTCATGCATGTAGTGCTTCTGTAGATTGTGTAAACAGGGCTTAGCTCGTTCTCAGTTCATCTGCTTGTTAGCTGCTTTTTTTTTTTTTTTTTAGAAGAACGAATAATAGGAGGGCTGTAAAGCAACTCTTTCTCTGGCTCCTCAGCAGGTCAAACTGAAGGGATCCAAATATGCTCCAAAACAAGCAGGTGGACAGACGATGCCTACTTTGTGAAAGTAGTACTTTTGCTAAACAGTGTATTTCTGATAGCTAAGCAGCCAAAGTGCTTTTTCAGTCTTCATGGTGTTGTAAGAGTAGGATAGATTGAACTAGTAAAGAACGTTGATATTCCACACTTTGTTAACCATGTATTTAAACATTCTCTCAGAAGTGTTAATAGGTGGCAAAATTACTTGAGTTATATTTCCTTTCTTCTCGTCTCTAGAGTAGATATCTGAAAATATTGATAGGAAAAATATCTAAATTTAAATAAATAAACAGCAAAATCAGGAGTTGCCTGTGAAGTCATGTGGTGTTACATTTACATAAGAATTGATATTTTATAAAATGAAATTCCATGTAAGTGGGATTACATTGTACAGCTAAGTGCTCTGAAGGGGTTTCTTACACAGCTACAAAAAAGCAACAGTTGACGTTGAACGTGTGTGTGTGTGTGTGTGTGTGTGTGTGTGTGTGTGTATTGTTTTTGTAAAAGTTGACATTATTCTTCTGCTTTAATCTGTTCTGAAGCTGAGAATGAAGCCTGTCACAGTGGCAAGCATACAGTACATGATTAGTAAGTACATTGTAGCAATTGCTACCTCTCTAAAGGCATTAGTCAGTACTGTTGTGGAGGAGGTTACAGCATCCTTTACTCTCATTGCAGTCTTCATCACTGAGCTCACTTAAAATAATAAAGCACATTAGCAAATTGTGGCAGAATATTTTTAGCTTATTTTTCAAATTCATTTGTCCCTTTTTTTAAAGCACTTACTCATTTCCTAACCTATTTCTCAGCTTTTCTTCTTTTTCTAATTATAGCTGACCTTTTCCTGCATTTTCTTAGAACATATCTGTAATTATTTAATGTCCTTTTCAAATGTTACACAGTTTTTGAGGGACATGGGTAAGATACCATTATTATTAGAACAATAGTTGAATAGTTGCTCTAAGTAGTCATAGGTACTGTAAAATTCTGTGCTAAGCTCAGCAAGGGCTAGGAAAACGACAGAGACCTTACTTCCTGTCCTTAAAGAGGGCAAAGAGGGGGAAATAGAGAGAGGAATGAAGATAGCCTCCACAAAGCACACAAATTAAAAAGAAACAAAAAAACCAACATTGAAGTAAAAACACAACTTGAAACTAAAGCTTCATACTAAAGTGTCACATAGGGAGGCAGCATAGTTCTGTGGAAAGGAAATTCTAATAAGAAACAAGGAGCCCTGAGTTCTAGTTTTTTTGCCAGTACCAACCGAGAAACAATGACCAAATTCTCTTTGGCTTTCTTCTGTCCCCAGTTTTAGTTTTTCTCTATCTAGTGGATATTAACCTAATCTTACAGTTTGTAAATATTGGGGTATACCACACAAGTTTGCTTCCCTTCATAGAAGATATATCCCTTCCCCCCCATTTATTGAGTGACTAATATGACCAGTTTTTAGTTATTATTTAAGCATTTAATAGTAATTCGTAAATTGTATACATTTGCACAGTGTCTTCAAGTGACCTTAATCAGATAGCTATGATTAAAGGATAAGGGCAGTCACTTATTTGTACTCAGATTTCTTTTGCACATGTGTAATGCCAAACATTTGAAAATTTATTCTTAGTTTTTAAAATAAACATGCACGACTTTTGTAATAAGGGGAGGGGAGCCCCAAGAACACTGCCTGAGTACTCTTCTGTTTCAGAGGTAGCTGTGGATCTGATTGGCTTTTCTTAGAGGTCATCACCCGCATCTAAAGGTGGTCTTCTGACGCTTGACGGGGAAGCAGAGAATTGGTCTGTGGTTTTATCTCTGAAGAATTTTATTCTCCTTTGCATTGAAATAGCTTTACAGGCCTCCAATCAGTGTTTTATGATGAAATATCAGTCCAAAAGTATCTAGCTGATTTGTCTTCCTGTTCCTAAATGGGAAGTGAGACGCTGCTAATTAACTAAATTATGTGCTAGGATATCTGAACACTTCAAAAACTATGTGTAATATATACATTAATACTCTTTGAAATAAACTTAGTTTTTGAAGATATTTTAGTTGTGCTGAATTAAAAGAAAATCCCTATTCTAAATCTATTTTATCAATTATTCGTGTGTGTCATACAGTATTTTGGTTTCATTTATAAATGCAAATAAAGGTGTCTGTGACACCTAGTATAGAATGTGACAGAATTAGAGATCTGCATAGTCACTCTGCAGCCATTTTCAGTTCAAAGGGAACCCACATACGGTCTCTCTGCAGCCTAAGGATGTTGACAAATAACAAAATGAAGCATTTGGAGACACTCAGAAGAAAGGGGCTGGCAGCACTTTGTTTGGAATCTTACCCATTGCCTCAGCAAATGAGTACCATACTTAGATACTATTAAACTGGAAGGATTTCGTTTTGTTTTGTTAATTGGTGATCTTTAGACCATTGGCCCTTTCTGTCCAACTACATAGTTGTTAGAGAAGCTGGGCAGGAGATACCTGGCTGAAGTGTGGATTAATGTAATTCAGAGCTTTCCCTAATACGTGTTACTTAAAGCACAGGTGTTCCTTTTTTGTTGGTTGAATACTGTCTGATTTTCATTCCTACATAATTTACCTGCATAGAGATTAAGAAAGCTCCTGTTTATTAAATAAGCTTGAAAACAAGATGAATGCAGTAGGTGCTGGGTAGAAAATATTGGCTCGCTCCCTTTATAATGAGCATTTAAAAACCTGACCTCCAAAAACTGGGAATTGCATTCTCTCCTGTATGGAAAGCAATATAGTTCTGAAATATTCCTCCTTAATTCTGGTCTGAACGAACAAAAGTGTCTGTGTTTATTCCTGCCTAATGCATCACAAATCTGCTGACATGCTAACCTTGGAGTCTTGGCTGGCGTTAATCAGGCCTGTGCACCGGCAGGAAAGATGTACCTAATGCACTCCATCAGTGCAGTTTGCATATGGAAGTTCTCACAGGGGAGCTGCCCTGTGCCAGCTGAGGGTTACCTGCCCACTGCAGTTATTGTATGTAATTATCGAACCAATCTGTTCAGCTCAGCAGGGTTTAGATGGTAATCATGAAGCAACACTTTGGAAAAGAAAGATGGAAGGCACTCTCCCCTTCTCTCATCAGTTATGTGAAGTTATAGCCACTCTAACAGCTATTTTTGAGAAGCAATACCTCCAAATACAGATCTGTTAAATGAAGCCTTTAAAGTTTCTTAAGTTTACTCAAGTTGTTATTTTTGTATACGTGAAGCATTTTCTTTAGGAACATGGTGGGTTTGTCTGAGTTCTCTTTCCACAGCCACCTTAGCAGGTTTTGAAGCAGTGGGATTAATTGTGATACATAGATAATAACGGTTCTGACCATTTGGGGGCAGGGTTAAGGTAAGGTAGCTTGAATAGGTTCAGCACTATATGGTTCTCTTTGGAGCAGAATCCATGGTTGCCATTAGGGAAAAGGATAGTGTGCTGTCTGTCAGCTGGTATTATCTTCTTTTATAGCACAAAATGGCCCACAGCAAGGAACATTCTCAGAGAAGCCTCACTTAATATTAATTGCTAAAAAATATAAATAGGGACATCCTCTTGCATTATGAGTCTGTGAAATTTGAGACATATCATTTGTTTCCTGAATGATACAAACTTATTTTTGGGAAACCTAAAGAAATTTTGAATTAATATTTGGAGTTTTACAAATTTACTTTTGAAACAACATGAGATACAGTTATGAAAAACAGAGTTTTATATTTGTTAGTAATGTCTTTCTGTAATTATACCTACATGGAGTGATGTTAAATAATTTAAAACTTGGCAATGGATTGGACTAATTAAAGATGTTATCTGATGGGATGTGATAGAAGGAAATTGCATGTGCATTTGGGAAGAATAGAAGGCAACAGAATGTGAACACCATCTCCTAAGTAACACTGACCAGGAAAATACATAGAAAAAAAGAAAGACCTAAGAGAAGGGGAAACATTCCAAAGGTTTTTGAGTTTTTAGGAGAGTTTGCATTTTTCAGGTTTTCATTTATAGTAAAGTTTATGGCCCTCTTATTTATACTTTTAATAAAAAGTACTGTAAAAGAGAAACATTTGTTAGAAAAGTGCAAGCATTGATACAGTGTGAGATGAGGCATGTATTCTTTGTCTCCTCTCCCCCCCATTAGAAAGTGGGGAGAATGAGTATCACTGTCTTGTGGGGATGGTGACAGCAAGCTTGTAAAACATTTCATTTTGTAAGAATTTTTCTGTGACTCGTCCTGATGGTTCAAACATAGCTTCTAGTGATGAACAAAAAGCATGAAAGGTAAGAGGTAGATATAACTAATATGGCCATAATGCAGACTGATGACGTCGTTGAAAGTTCCTTTACTCCTGTTTTGTTCCATAGCCCATTCCTTTTCTTAGGAAACCACCCACAACTGAAGTTATGAATATTCTTCCTGGATGCCTTGACACACCCGTGTTTAGACACAGTCATATATGTGCTCATCAGCAGTATGTTTGTTTATTTACTTCTTTGACATTAGACTACATCTCTCTCTCTCTCTCTCTCTCTCAAATTTTATATGCAAGAAGCGAAAGAAAGCGTTGGAAGAAAGCACAGCATCTAGCGTTGGAGATATGGACTGCTCAGACACGCAGACAGAGGAGGCCACAGAGACCCGTAAGTCAAGCAGTCTTGCCTAGCCTCTTCCATCCATAGGCACAAATTGGGCTTCTTCCCACCAGATGAAGGGTTATCCACTTGGATTATAGCATTCTGATTTACCGTAAGGCATAATGTAAATAGATCTGACATTCATACAGTATATGTTGGAGTGTCTGCTGCACGCAATCATGAAGTTGGGACTGGGGGCCTACTTTCATTTTGCAGATTTAGAATCTGAAACACTGAGCATTTGAATGACAGAGCTGTTGTGAAAGAGTGAGAGGTAGAGACCTGAACTCTTAATTCTCAGGCCACAAACTTCCTTACACTGATCCTTTTAACTCTGAGAGTGATAGTGAAGGTCCCGAGTCAGATTCTTAGTACCTGGGCTTATCACAACTCTACTTGTCTGGTTGTTCCCCATGAAGTCTACCAGCTCGTGTCTTAACAAGTTAGGATGCAAGGAATTAAAACTTTGAGTCATCACTTTTCAAAGCACTTGATTCAGAAAGCAAGATCTGAAGTAATTTCTCAGATGACTTATCAGCTGGTGTTGAAGGCACTTCCTATAAAGCAATAGTTGCAGAAATGAATTAGGAAAGAACATCGGCAAATGGCAGAACGAGGCTGCACTTTGGTGTGGTTAGAAATGGCTGGTCAGTGTGTTCCAGGTTTCTTAAGAGATGCTTTCCTTGACTCAGTGGAGAGAGAATGAGTTCTTCCCACAACATCATTTTCTTTCTTAAGACTTCTTACCTACCTCTGTGCCTTTTGTTCATTTATTATTTTTTTGGTCCTGAAATATTTCTTGATTTGTAATGAGAAAGCTTATTTTGGGTAACATTTTTATGATAGTATAAATGCCCTATTAAGTAAGACCAATGCTGTATTTTTCATTCCTTATGACGCACCTTCTTTGTTACATGTGTATGTGTAAAGCAAAGTATTCTACTTTCAAAGACAGTTGTCTTTGTCCTGATTTTATTAACATTGTCTTCATTATGTACTATGGGTAGAACATCATGAGGTTTATCTGCATTTACCTAGAGAGTCCTTAAGATATCTGAAGGTGGAGTGTATAACTTCACTCTGGAGGCTAAAGGTTTTGAAGTAGTCCCTCTCTTTTTTAGTGCTGCTGTCTTCCATTTGCTATTTTTTTTTTATTCCCTTCTCCCCTGTCTTGTTCATTTTGTTATTAGGAAGTGAGGAGTCCCAAGGAGCAATACATCGAAGCATGTCTCAGCCAGAGGCTAGCAGCAGCAGCTATGACAGTGAGTGGGGACAATATTAAGGAGTTTTTATAAAAATAAAGTAATATTCTTACTTTAAAAAATAAAAAAGGTCCCTTAAAATTTCAAACTAGCAGTTGTAGTTTAGGAAGAGTCCTACATTGTTCTGGTAAGGCTGATATCTCTCAAGGGTGGCGTCTCAACTGTGCCTGGAAGACCCTGGCTCTCTTGACTACCTGCAGGTCATTTGTCACCTGAGCTTTGCTTAATGAGCACCAAAGGTATTCATTTTGATAGATAAGTGATTTTAAATTCTAGTTTTAATGATGAAAATGTTTCTAGTGCCTAAAATTTTAATGCAAAGTCTTCATACTGATAGTTTTTCCTGTAAGAAAATAATTAGCATTTTTATTATTTTATTATTTTATTAATGTGGGAAAAGACTAAACACAAATTTAAGGAGAGTAATTCAGATTTTTTTGACACAGCTTTTTAAAGATAATCAAATTCTCCTTTATTCATATAAACTCTGAGAGTTGCTTTGCTTAAATGTTTTTTGTTTTCCCGTTGTAATTCCTTTTTTCCCTAAAGTATCAGGCAAGTTAAGACATTTTATTGTCAAAATATTCAAAAAGAGGAATGTTATCTGAGATGGTAAAGTTTTTTTCTCTAGCAAAGAAAGAAAAGATTTTTTTAAAAAGCTAAGGGGTCATGTAAATATATGTATTTTTTCCACAGTTTAAAATAAGTTGAAGGAGAAGGCACATTATTACATTTGGAGTTTTTAATTGTTAAGACATATGTAATACAGCTCAGTGAATTTTGTGGTTTAGGGCTTTAAGATTTTGTGTCTTAAATGTGTTTCAAGAATGGTTACCTCTAACAGCAGCTTTAGAAATGTCAGTTTCTTCATTAACAATTTTATTTTCAAACACAATTTATGGTTTACAATATGGTAGGAGATTTTTCTCACTGTGTGATCTTTTAGAATGCTGTGCCTAGCAAAATGGGAGCAACTTTCCTTTAATATCTATTTAGACCATTTCAAAAACGTGTATAATTTTCTTGATACACCTAAACTCATTTTGAATAGTTGGGGGTCTATTGTGTAGGAACACATTCTGAAAGCTTTCCGCACGTGCATTGTGTAGGTTTTCTCAGAAAAAGAGAGGGGGTGACGGGGTGGTGTTCAGGAAGAACAGAGGCCTCTAATCCTTTTATTTTTATGCAAGGCGTAATTTTTACCAATTGAAAAAATTTGGTTATTTGCTGCAAGTAATTTTTCCCACTCACAAAATAGTAAGCCTTAAAATCACACATATTCTGGCATTTCAAACTATGTTGGTGTTTCAGAATTGTACTAAAAATTAGTTAATGTAGCCATGATATTTATGGCTAGCATACTTTGTTTCCCTGTTCATAAAATGGAGTCTGCTCCTATTAGTGTTAGTTTTGAAGTACCATGGGGTTTGAACCATTTCTGAGGACTATTTGGCATAACTGGCCAGGAGATACATAATTTTTAAGGCAATCCTACCAAGAAATTTCCCACTAGCACATTCTGTAGTATAAAATTATAGAAGAGTATCTAAAACTTGTATATATTATTTTTTCAAATATCAAAATTTTCACATTAGTTTTATGATTGGACCTGTTAGTAGTAGTATATTATGAACATTGTTATTTGAAATTAAGTAGACAAGAAAACAGTTTTTTCCTGCAATTATCAGAATAGAGTATTGGGGGGAACATGGAATTGATACATGCAGCAAAATCTCCAAGGTGCTTAGGACTTACTAATCATGTCATAAATTCCAGGTGACAGTGCATTTTGAGTTGCAACGAGAAACTCTAAATCTGAATTGCAGAGGTGAAGCAGTAATATTTAAGAATTAAAAGAATGGGGACAATAATGAAAATAGTACTGTTTAAATATAGCTGTACAATTATAGCTTCAGTATCTATTGTAATATGCCTGTAGAGTCAAAACTTATTGAAAGAAGGATATTGTTATTGACCTTGGTTTTGTGATAACCCATCACACCAATCTCACAATTGCAACATGTTCAATTTTCTGTGCAGAATTAATTTCAAAATTCTTGAAATAAAAACATAAAAATATACCATGGGATGTTTTTTAATAGAGAGTTATATGACAGAAATTGAAGAAAACCCTCAAATTGTTAAACCAACCATAGCAAATAGGCTATATATTGTGAATGGCAAGAAAAGACATTCATGTAAGCTCCTAGTTTGCTCTAGTTGAATTGTTGGCAATTGAATAGAAACTAACTTGGAAAATTAGAAAAGGTAATTTTTAAATTATCTTCCAGTTAAGTGGCTAGGTAAACCCACAATCAGAAAACCTTTATATACTGCTTATTATTACTCATACATGGTAGAAATTTTGCCCAGATTCAACTATGTTGTGTGCTTTTCAGAAGAAAGTGCTGATCTCTGTGTGGCTCAGTGATTTGTTGATTAACGGTGGTGTACCATGCTGCCCCTTGTTGTGATGTCACTGCTCCTTCCTGGCAAGGAACACATGAGGCATGTGCAAGAAATGGCCTCACCTCATGGGCCAGCCCGGGGCAGTGTGCTCAGGCTAAGCACATCCTCTGGCTGCATTCTAGGTGCAGGTGGATGGGATGGTGGGTGGGGAGTAGTCTCTTGGGTGAGACAAAATTTTCATGTTCCCAGTAGAGAATCCCTTGTTTATTCCATCCCAAGAAGAGTTGATAGGGGTTGGTATAGGAGCCTGAGACCAGGATCAGTTGTGATCCCTAGAAGAAAAGACTTTCCATTTTAGCATATTTCAGTGCTCTCCTGCCTAAAGAGGACAGGTGTTAGGCTTTAAAAAGCAACTCAGAAATGAAAGCCCTTGCTTTTTGTCCCATGTATAACCTCATTGCTTGCCCCCAAGGAGTACATGGTATGGTTGTAGTTAATGTCTTAAATTTTATGGTAAAAATTTTGGGGAGACATATGTCAGTATCAGTGTATACTGGATATGTTTTTACCAGTAGGAGAATTCCTATATGGGTTAAGACTAAAAAGTAGATATTTTTTGATATTAAAAAATTGGCATAATTTCCTGAGATTTTGAGGGTACTAGTAGTTGTTCCTTTTGTGCAAATTTCATCTCCACAAACTGTCAGAGTCAATTAGATTTTAAAATATTAATAACTCTAGTAGTGTTTATTTTCTCTTCTTTTGCTTTTATAAATTAATGATTAATTATTTAAATTTCTTTGATTTCAAGGTTCAAGAACCAGAAAGAGAGTCCAGAAGTAAATCCAATGCTGGGAACTGACCTTTCTTCTGTTTGATACTTTCTTCTTTTCTTTTTTAAGCTTTATTCTCATGTGAGTCTTGTGGGATGGGAGTAATAATTAAATACCTGTGTTTTTGATGAGCAAACTTTTTTTTTTATTAAAATGAATATTTTGTATGATTTACTGAAGACTAATTTATGATATTCCAAAATTTTCAGGTTGTACTCTTTAAGCTATCCCAATCTGTATGGTTGAGGTTTTGGAGTCGTACACTTTTTCTAATCATTGTGCATTTCCCAGAGTAGATAGAAGTGTTCGACACTCTTTTAAAGCAATGCAAAACTTAAAGGTCTCTCTTGCTTGATATAAATACACAATTTATAATGGCAATAAAGTTTGGTTTGTATTGATTTTGGTTTTCTCCACAAGCATTTGTTGAGTACCTGGTGTATGAGACAGGAGTGAAGCTGCAAAGAAGGGCAAGGAATATGAAAGAAAAATTAGAATAAGTACAATACCTCTATGAGAGAGAAAATACGCATATTTGAAAATCAGATTACATAAGGATTATGTAAGTGTGTAAGCTGTACGGCAAGAAAATGGATGGTAAGTCATCAAGTGGTGCCACAGTCACAGATTGTCGAGCCTGGCTTCTGTTAGGGAGTCCTGTGAGCTTGCTACATACAGTCTCTTACACACTCACAGGAGATTATTTTCCTTACAAGTTTCATTTTTGTGCAGTAAACCAAGCACTGTAGAGTTTCAGTGATAGAAATTTTAAGATGTATGTTTTTTTGTTTTTTTGTTGTCTTGGGAATAAAAGCTTAGAATTTTAACATTTATGTAAATGTTAAATGTAAATGTTTACAATGTAAAGATACATTCCTCAATTTATTTGGTCAGGGAAGTGGAATTGGATATATTTTCCAGTGGATGGAACACTTCACTGCTTGTACAATGTCTTTGGGTGGTGTACATATGCAGTTTTATTTAAGTATTTGAGAATTGTCATACATATTGAAAATATAGGGCTGGGTTGGAACTCAGAGGTAGAGTGCCTTCCTAGCAGACACAGGCCATGGGTGTGAGCCCTAGCACCACAAAAAAGTTGTATATGTTTGGTATGTGTGTGTATTTATATATATGTAATTGTATACATATTATATGAGTGTATATATAATATATCTGGCACATTACGGTAATGATTTCAGCACTGGTTAGGATAAGCCTATAGTAGATATTTTAGTTTTTAAAAGGCAAATTGATTTGAAGAAAATATTAAGTAAATAATCGTGCAGGTGAGGTGTGAACGTAACAGTTTTCAAGGTTGTACTAAATTTGTGAAACTAAGCAAACACAAAGACCATAACTTTTGGCTCTTTGATGGAAATATTTAGTTGTCACATGAATTACTTATTGCTGTAATCATGGTATGGTAAAAAATGCAAAACAAATCTCATTTTTCCTTGAAGATTAATCTTTTAATGCCTCCTGAAGTTCTAGAGTTACATATCTTTACAGAATAGAGAATTGGATTTTGGGTACAGATTCCTGCTTTCTGTAGAATGTTGGATTTTAGTACTCATCAGTGTTATGGTCCCAAGTTTATTTGTAACACCTAAATCAAGCCTGGGGTTCTGTTTTAAACACATTGACACTTAAAATAGGATAAAATGTGTGTGATGTGTTTTTGTATATATGCCTTAGCCTTTTTTATTTTTTAAAACATAAAATATATCAAAACGTTTTGGTTAAATACTAAGAAAACAAGTATTTCCTCACATATTGTTTTAAACAAATGCTAACATTTTCTCAAATGTTACTGTATTGGCAGGTCTACAGAAATTAATGAAAAACTACTAGCCAGAAGTAGCCTATTTGATTTATCAGCTATGTCCCTTGTTCTGCTCTGAGTTCCTTCCTTGCACTGGGTTTTCCTACACCAGTAGGATATGGTTAAGCAACCTCCTTGTTATTTAGATTGTTTTTGCCCTTTCAGTTCCATGTTTATTATTATTTTCATCTTGTACTGTTTTTATTTTCTTTCCATCCCTGAATGGGGTGGATTTGCCATCTTTGTTCTCCCTTCACAATCCAGCTTCCATATACTAACACGTTCTTAGCACCATTTTGTCCTGCCTTCTGTGCAGTTTTGTTGAGTTCTCAGTGAGCTGAGGTTTTCTATTCTGTTGAGTGAGGATAATCACCTGTGCAGGCTCTTGTTCCTCACACAACAGAATTATTATGTTCTGTTCATTTTCTGCAAAGCAACTGATAAATCTGGGTATCAAACTAAGCCCTGAAGTAAAATAGCTTCTAGGTGTTCTTCAATAATGATTTCTTGAGACAAAACACTAACAGACCACAGTTGTAAAACCCTGTTTCTTTGAATAACTAAATTAAATGTGCACATTTAATTATTGTTCCAAGTCACAGAACAATAAATCAGTGGTGAAAACATAAGTAATTCTGTGTGTGTTTGTATCTGTATATGTATTGTTGAACATTATATTGTTTATTCTTTGAAATTCCATTTTTAATACAGTAGATGCCTGATGTCTATGGGTATTTGGTTCCAAAGAGACTACTGTTGAGAAACTGAGTGCTCAGGATGCAGTGTTCATGGCTGTATTGCACACACTTGATTCATTTTCCCTTAGTTCCCCCACCTTCTGCTAAGGACATGCAGCCTTTCCACAAATCTAAAATTTTCACTGTATCACTTAAATTAAAATGCACATTAACTTTTACCTTCCTTTTTGGGCACCATTTGCCTTTTGGGAGGCAGCTTTTCACAAAATTTGTGGCAGGGAAAACTCAGCAGTCACATAACAATTTAAACACAACTGATGATAACTTGGGGCCTCTCCACATCCTCTGAACTGTGTGAATTTGAAACAATTTCTTTTGAATTTTATTATTTTTTTACTGCACTTTGGTCAAAACTGTGTTATAAATTCGTGAATAAGGTGGGCTTACTGTATTCTATAATCTGATTATCAAAGTTTATTAGTAATAAATGGTCATTGTAGAAAATTTAGAACATACAGAAAAGTGTCAAAAGGCAAACCAGAGAGCCTTAGGCCAAAGAGACCACTGTTGGCTTACACCTGTAATCCTAGTCACTTGAGAGACAGAGATCAGGAGGATAGTTATTCAAGGCCAGCCTGGGCAAAAAGTTAGCAAGATCTTATCTCATCTCAGCCAAAAGAAAAAAAGCTGGGCCTGGTGGTGTGCTCATGTCATCCCAGCGATGTGGGAAGGAAGTGTAAAAAGGAGGGTCATGGTCTGGGCTGGCCTTGGCATAATGGGAGGCCCTATTTGAAAAATAGCTAAAGTGAAAAGAGTGTAGGGCTGTGGCTCAAATTGCAGAGCATCTACTTAGCACACATGCAAAGCCTGAATTCAAACCCCAGAACTGCCAAAAGAAAATGACAAGCCATGCTACTACTAGCCACAGGCACCCACTGCTAATATTTTGATGTCTTTCTTCTAGATTTTTCTGTACATTTAATGTATTTTGAATACTATATATCAAACTTTATATTCTGCATTTTAACACTGACATCAATATTTTTCGTGTTATCATGTATACTTGGTGAGTATAACTGTTGCTACGATATTTTATTCTTATGGATTGTGTGATATTTTAATGACAGTTTCTTTAATACTGGACACTTGTTTTCAGTCTTAGTATAGTTCAATACTCTTTTTTTTTTTCTTGGCAGTCCTGGAGGTTTGAAGTCAGGGCTTTGGCCTTGCAAGGCAGGCATACTGCTTTAGCTGTGCCTCTGGCCCTTTTTGTGCTGGTTACTTTGAAGATAGGGTCTTGCCTTTTGTCTAGACTGGCCTGGACTGCAGTCCTTCTATCATCCTGTTGTCACTTTCTGTTGAGATGGGTCTCACAAACTTTTTTCTCCTCTGTGGCCTTGAATTGCGAACCTCTCAATCTCATCCTCCCAAGTAGCTAGGATTATAGGTTTTAGCCCTTGGCCCTTGGCTTCAAAAATATTCTTGAACAAAATTAGGCAGAAATCTTTGTCAACATAACTATTTCGTTAGATTTTGAGAAGCAAACCACTGGGTCAAAGTCTATGAAATGTCAAGTTACTGTATTTTTAGTGATCCTAAGCAGTTCTTTTAATTTGAGAATCAGTCATTCTGTTTTGGTGTGTTTGTGTTGTTTATATAATAAGACCAAAATTCTTTGTCCTGTTTTTGCTGACTTTTACCTGATTAATTTTTGTTGGATAATTTTTAAGCATATAATAGTTGAATAGGGGGTTTCATTGTGATGTTTCCATATATGTATACAATGTACCATAGTAGGTTTATCCTCTCCAGTATTCTCCCTCTTCCTCCTTCCCCTTCTTAAAATGGCTTCAACAGGTTTCAGTGTTCCCTATTCATGCATGTATAGAAAGGATCTCAACCGTATTCACCCTGCTTTACCCCTTCCGCTCCCCTGGCACTCTCTTCTGAACATGATCTGTTGTACATTTCTGTCCTTCATTGTTTAAGTGTCTGTCCATTTTCAGTGGGGTTTTGCCTTGGTATTTTGCCTGTAAAAATATATTATACTTTAATCTCTATCACTCTTCCTTACCCTTTTCCTCTATCCTATACTGTTCAAGTTTTCAGTGCATTTCTTTGTGTCTTGTTCCTACACAGATGTGATGCAATTCAAAATTGAATTGCACTCTATCATTCTCTTCTTTCCCTTCTCCCTGGTCTCCTGTAACAGCCCCACTATTGGAAACATGTTCTGTATATATTATATATATGGATGTATGTATGTGTATATATGTATGAATATATGTGATAATTCTTGTATTTGGATCTGTCTTGAAAGAGAGAAAACATGCAACCTTTTGTCTTTCTGAACCTGGGTTATTACTTCACTTAACATGATGTCTTCCAGTTCCATCCATTTATCTGTGAACAAAATAATTTCATTCTTCTTTATGGATGAATAATATTCCACGGTATATATGTGCATCACATTTTCTTAATCCTTCATCTTCTCTCTGGGCTATTTCTGTAGCTTGGCTATTATCAATATTGCTGCAGTAAACGTAGGTGTACAAGTGTCTTTATTGTCTCCTGACTTATATCCTTTTGAATATAAATTTTTAATTTTTATGAAGATTAGTTTTTGTGGTCTTAAATGTTTTATCTTTTCATTATAATTTGTGCCACTGTTTTAAATATTTTCTAATCAGAAATATTTACCATGACTTTTTCTAGGCTGCTTATTTTAATGCTTCTAAATTTGTAGTCCAGGTAGAATTTATTTTGCTGTGTGCCATGAGGTGAAGATCACAGTGTTTTTGTCTGTCTGCTTTTTCAAACAGCTAACCAGTACTCCGGTACCATTTGTAAAATTACCTTCCATCTCCTCCTCCACCCTGGTTGGTGCTGCCT